CTTCGACCTCCGGGGGGGTCTCACTGTGGAGGAGTGGATGGAGCAGTGCCTATCTCCAGAGAGCCCCTAAACGACGACATGCAGAGCTACGTGAAGAGCAGGTAGACCAACTTATCGGAGAAAGTGGAGCAATATTCTCGCCACGCCAAGCAACAGCCTCGAACAACCTCAACCTATACAAGTGACCACGTAAGCCATGCTACTGATGCTGGACAGTTTTTCAGTGGATGCACAATAAACAGCAACATACACATTAATGTAAATAAACAGCCAAATAATGGATCAACGCTCTCTGTCTAACATGTTCGCTTGCTGTTAGTGTTGTTGCATAGCAACCACCTTGCACTATGTTTTGTGCAGAAGGCAACGGAGGGACTATTTTATTTTGAACATCATTATTTACTAATAAAAACTATTTAAATTAGAGTGTGTATTTTTCTTTCATATTGCCACACTTGGTAACCGTTTTATAAAAGCAATAGCTCACTTCAGGCCGTGATATATGCTCATTATATCACAGCTAAGGGGGTTGTCGACCGTCCGCTTCGCGTCGGGCCGAACCACGCCCCTTAGCTGTGATATAATGAGCATATACCACGGCCTGTCGTGAGCTATTGCTTAATTAGAAGCTAACATAAATAGCATTCAACTGCCCTGCAGCTTGCGTGCACGTGAGGCAAAGTTCCTGTGGTTACAGCAGGTTTAGCTAGCTAACGTTACCCTTAATAAAACGTTAACATTAGTTCATGCTAGCAATGCAGTAGAGTAATTATATTTATACAATATCTATACTTACACCTGACTTGGTGATAGCAAAATGATAAAAGTTCTTGTTTGGTGGTGGACCGCGTCCGGACTTCTCAAACAACGGGTTTGTTAACAGGGACGCCATGTCAAACTGTCTGTGTTGTCATGGCAACTGCTTTCTCAGGTGGAGAGCTGAAGACATGAGTAGGTCCAAGCAAGAAGCTACATGTGAACAAAGTTAGCATTTAGCACGTTTTCAACTAAAGAAAATTACATACAGAAGAACGTATGCAAGACAAAGGTTAACAGGGAATGGTTGCTCGATATGATAATACAAAAGATACACCCCAATGCACAAAACTCAACGCTTTGAGTCTAATTATACAACAGCTCTGCAATTAATTATTCCTTACTAAAGGATAACAGTAGGCCATACCTAGTGTTTATTCGAACCATATGTTTTTTTTGTTTAAACAGAGACACCTTTCTAATATTCAATCTTCATTGAAAGGTATTAAATGGATACGATATTAGCTTCCGCACGAAAATTCCTATTACAACCTTCACAGGGACAGGACTACTCACAGCTGTTGTATTAGTCTCAAATAATTTCAGATGAGAATGTATACACCTCACAAACGGTCAGTGTTTAGTCACCTGTCTGAATGAATAATCACAAAAGTTACACAAAGTCGACATTGTAGTTAAAAATCTTTTAATTTATTTATACATATATTTATATATGTACACATTTACTAACCTATTCTTGCAAAGACAAGAAACACATTGTCAAATTCATTGTTAGTCATTGGTGGCATAATTGAGAAACTAGTAGCCAGAGTCCCAGGCTGATCAAGTAATGTACTAATCCCTACATCAGTTATTTCCTCGGCCTAATTTAAAGCAAACTGAGGGGAGAGCAACATTCCTCCTCATTCTGTTCTTCTGAAGGCAAAGAAGAAGACAGATATCAAGGGAGTGTAGCGATAACACTTTTCATACATATTATTAGTTTTAAAAGGTTGTAAACATTTTCTGGTTAACCTGTCATCGAGAGGACATGTCACCCGCAACCATGTGAAAAACTACACCACTTGTTTCTCAACCCTGAAGCTTTCTTCAGGGTTTCCCGAACAGTCTTTCCGTTTGTCTTTACCATATTCATAAAATATAGTGAATATCTGAAAGCAGGAGGTTAAATAAGAGTATATTTAACAGTTTTACCAACATTTAGAGAATAGGTAGGGTAACAGGATATACAAATAGTCATTTCAAAGCCTACACTTCTTGTGTCTTCCCTTCGTTTGTGCTCTGGTAGACATGCCTCTCCAGTTCCAAAGCTATGGTGGCCTCTTGGTTTCAAACCAAAAAAGAGCAACAACCTTTTTTTCTCTTTCGACAATTTCACAGATACTGGCAAAATTAATAAAAGAATGAAAGCTGAATCGCATCCTCCTGCTTGCGATGCTTTGAGTCATAGGCAACTTGTAAGTTAAAGGTAGGGTAGGTAAGAATGGAGAAACCAGCTCGAGTGCGCTAGAATTTGAAAGTACGCAGCCGAAAAAAATCTGCCCCTTCTTTCAGACTTCCTTACAGAGCCCCTCCTCCAACACACACGAACACGCACATGACCAATGAGGGCACGAGATAAGTTTGTGCACAGATGGAAGGCTGACAGGCAGGTAGGCCATCCAGTTATCTTAGCCGGGCCGGCTGAAATGATTGGTCGTGCTTTTTACAGTACTACGGCTTCCACAGATGAATTATATGTATTTATTGTGAAAGCATTTAATATATTCATTGCTATCGGGATGTTAAGAGCATTCCATGGAATATAACAAAAAGTGTTTCTGAAGTGAATTACCTACCCCACCTTTAATAAAGGAAATGTTGCACATTTTGCAATTGCAACCAAAAAAAAAAAATGAAGATTGTAGTGAGGTATTTCTTTCCATAAGGTATGTGTATACTTACCAATGGTAACTCAGTCCTTGTCATACATAACATGTACTTAATTGTGATTACAAATGATATGCACAGAGCTTACAGTCATAAACAAAACATAAGAAGCATACACTGTATTGTATATAATCCAAACTGTACATTTCCCCATAACAGTCCCTTTGTCTTCAATATAGTCCTTTGTACTCCTTCATAGTGTTGTAAACTTTTTTTTTATATGAAACAAAAACAAAAAAATTTAAGTCTTTAAAAATAAAATGGTACTGCCACTAATGCATGACGGAATGGTGTGTATTATATGCTGCATGCTGCCCTCTGGTGGCAAAGGTAAGAGTTGTGCTACAGGAAAGGGTTGGTTGAACCCCCCGAAGGGAAGGCCCCTGCTGGAGCACCCGCCTGAAATCAGAGACAGAAAACATTCTGAAACAATTCAAATGAAATTTGGCAGTATGAATTTTTGAGCATTAAAGCATGGAAACATGTCAAACTTGAAGCACACAATACAAATATAAACCTGAAAATAAGCATAATAGGGCCCCTTTAATTAAAAAAGTTGGGAGAACAAAAGGCAAAGCATGCTCACCACCATGAAAGGGTTATAGGACATGCCAGGGCCAGCCATGGGCTGCCCAAAGTGCGACATGGAGGGCTTGTTCTGACCATAGACTGGGAATGCAGGCCCTAGAGGGGGATACAGGGAGAAGGATTTACAACAGGTCAAGCGGTCGCTCTCAAGCTGTTAAAGGGGAACTTAAGTATTTTTCAACCTGGACCCTTTAAGTGTTATTGAGCAGGAAAGCTACAGCCAAAAGCTAATAATGGGCTGCAATATAATCGCGTGGGGCAACCACATGTCAATGTCCACTAACAGTTTATTTTTGTTGCCAAAGACAGTGTCGAAGTGTTATTATAAAAGTCTAACAACACAACATTATGGAAAGGATTATTTTCGCTTGATCTGCTCCGTTCTTTAATGTGATGGGTAACTTGTTGGAGAGAGCCGATGTTTTTAGTGACATGGCTTAATAATCAGCTGATATCGACAATGTGATTGCAAGACTTCTCCTTGAGCAAGATATGGATGCAAACATTAACAAGCAGATAGGAACAATAGCAAGCAGCCTCAATAAAGCAAAAGGTTAACAAAATGTTATCTCCTGTTGGGTCCTTTCGATAATGTTGTCATACACATACTACCTGAGCCTTTTAGTCAGAAACGAGTCAGTAAAAAGCACTTTTAGTTGACGTATGGAATTGCCCTAAGCCCTGAACTCAATGCTGGACCTAATACTCAATGTGTAACAATAATATTTGATTGCAACTGTTACATTCAACCATAAATAGCAGGCTATAACAAAGTAAACAAAGATAAAATATCTTTAAACACTGGCCTAAAGAGTTTTATGCATAATGAGTACATTTTTAAAGGTTCTAAGGGAGTAAGGCTGTAGAAGGGGAAACAAAATAGAGCCAAGCCCAGTGTGTCAGATTGCATTCAGGTGTGAACAAAGCTTTATGAGTGATGTCAGATAAGTGCATTGAGTTTCTTGTCCTGAGCAGAACCCTAAAGCTTTGTACACTAAATGCAACCTTTTATAACTGTGCAGTAGCTGCCACGTCACACTTTGAATTTAGAAGCAAGACTAAACACCAAATGCATCATGTAGATAAAGATATATAAATTGCTCCACCACTAAATCACTGACAACAGGTACTGCACAGGGTAAAGGGTTTAGAGGACAGAGGGATTGTGGGAGGCCACTAACCATTAGACTGAGGGTGGTAAGCCCCCGGTTGAGAGTAAGGGATGGGAGCCTGGCCAGGGAATTGCTGCTGGAAGTTTCCACTGAAACTGGTCGGGAGGCAATAGGAAGACGCATTCCCAAAGCCGGCGGGCATGCTCATAGAGCCGGTGCCAAAGGAGGCTAGGAGACAAAGTATGTGTGTACACAAAGGCACAGCACACCAAACACACAAACACAAGGAGGAGGAGTACATTCTACATGATTTGGCAAATCAAAGCAATGTAACTGGCTTACATCTCATTAACACAAATGTGTAATTGAAACATGAGTAAATAAGCTGAAGTTTATATGCACACACACCTGCAGCTGGAGCTCTACCGTTGGCCTGGAAAGGGTTGGTGGCCATCTCCGGGCCGACGGCTGCAGCAACAAAGGGGTTAGTGGATGGGACGCCTGGAGGAAATGCAGGAGGAACTTAGCGTTCAAGCTATGTGGAACGATGTATTTCAATTTTTATGCATCAATGTAGTCGTAACAACTATTTACCACTTCCGAAGCCAGGCTGCATGCTGGGTAACACAGGTAGATTCTGGGCTGGCGATGAACCAAGCACAGGTCCAAATAAATTCCTGTAAGGACAAATATCAGATTAAATGTCTTTACTTTCGTTCGACACGTGCAGTTAGCATGGCAGGCCTAAATTAAACTTTAAAACGAATTCTTAGTTACTGCAAATATTTTGCTGTTTTTTTGTATTCTGTTTTGAATTGCAAACACTTTAGCTTTGCAGGTCATTCTTATAGAGTTTGTCTGGATTGAAATGTATTTCTCCAAGTGTCAAAGTTATTAAGCCCAGTACTTGCTGCCCAGTTCTGCTTCCTTCCCTTTGCGATCCTTTCTTGTTTGATGTGTGAATACACTCAGGATTGCTATTTACATTTGATTACCTATTGCAAACAATCAAAGATTATTTATATAGCCCAATATCACAAAACACATTTGTCTCAGGAGGCTCTTCAGATCAACAAACATGAATGACAGTGCTAAAAGATATAATAAAATAACACGATAGAATATAAAATACAAATACAATACATTCTTATTAAACAGATGATCTCACAAACTGACGCAGAATCAGTTAACTCCCTTCTTGAAACCCATTTTATAGACTTGCTTTATGCGATTTGTCTTTTAATGCTTTTTCTTTTGTATTTTAGTATTAATGATATGTTCATTTTATATTTATTGAAACTTTTTATTTTTAATTTTCATCTGTTTACCAACTTATTAACCTTTATCTTCTTGTTATAATTTGACCTTATACTGTTTTGCTTTTGTCTTGCCCTATAGGCTAGTTGCACAAGATGGCGTCTATCAACATCCGGTTCATTGAGTGTGCGGTTGTAAACCTCCGGTCTATGGTAGAGCGGTAGAGGGAAGAGCGATAGATAGCGTATAGATAGCGAGAGAAATAGCGTATAGATATTATCAGGGTTGGGAGGGTTACTTTTTAAATGTAATCAGTTACTGATTACTGAATACATGGCTCTGAAAGTAATCCGAATAGTTACAGTTACGCGTCTGTAATCAGATTACTTTTAGATTACTTTTGGATTACTTTCTTTTTCCATCACAGATATGTTTTGGTGAACAGGAGACACAAAAAGCAAAAGGAAACTGAAAGTGTTTTTACTGTTTTAATTGGCTTATCAAGAGCACAACTGAAACATAACATCTGAAACGATGTAACAACATAATAAACTTTTTGGGGATGCAGCTTGGGATGTGAGAAGTGAGGGACACGGCTTAGAACGGGCGTGTCACCTTCTGTCCTGCCAGTGTTGGCAGGACATGAATTAAAATGTCGAACTCGGATTTCATTTTAAGGAGATGTCGGCCAGGGGTGTAGAGCTATATTTGTTTAAGCACCGGATTGGCAAAACAGGAGACTCTGTTCACCGGTCTGCCTTGATCTATGAATTAATGTCCGTGACACTCACAGTATCATGCTGCCCACAGCTGTTTTATAGAAGGAAAACCTCCTTCACTTCATGAAATCTCTGCAGCACCAGGAGGCAGCGGGAGGGTTAACTCAGTCTCTGAGAAGACGAGCGCGCAGTGCCTTTCACGCACCGCCTTCGCTGTGTTTACCTTCAGAATCATAAGGCTAAAGGGCGACCGCAGGCTGATGTGTTTTAACCACACACACCTCTACACACACACGACTTAAACGCAGACTTTTGTTCCTCCATGTTTCGTTGTTATTGTTTCACTGAGCGGACCTGCCCCTTTTTTTTCAAACGCTCCCTTTTTTGGTCCATCTTCGGCGGTAAAAGTTTTTGTGCGCTGTGATGATTCGGCTGTACCTTTAATAATGAATATTAAATGTTGTGAGGAAATCTTTCCACCAATAATTCCAGTAAGTAATCCAAAATGTATTCACTTCAGGTTTACGAAAGTAACTGCAATCAGATTACTCGTTTTTCAAATGTAACGCGAGCTGAATACAGTTACTTGATTTTTGTATTCTGATTACGTAACGCCGTTACATGTATTCCGTTACAACCCAACCCTGGATATTATATAGGTACTATTGTACACTCCATGTCTCCAAGACCTACCGAAGGTTAACATCAGTGATGTACATCGGCTGGTACAAGCGGCAGGCTCAGCCCCGAGGAGCAAAAGAGAAAAGGGGTTCAAGATGTATACATATCCAGTTACGTCGACAATTATGAAGGTAAGTGACAAACAAAGCTGTAGTTACTGGCTAACTTTGACAACTTGACAGTCTTGATACAGTGTAAAGCGTTTTAATGATGTACTATTACGTTTTTTGGATAACATGAATGATATCCAATTCCCCACAGTTTCAAACAAAGATCTACCTTCAGGGAGAGTGAGCATCAGGGCTAGCTGTTACAGGTCCATGAGAAAGCATGAAAAGCCTCACGATCTCAGAGTAGCGAGGAAAATAAAAAGTGTTCATCGGTTCAAAGCCTCAATCAGGTTCATGTTCTGGGGTTTTGATGTGGCTAGAGTAGGTAACCTGTGATTTAGGATTCAAATAAGCCCAGCTAGCTGACGTGTTGCAACAGATTACATAGTGACAATACATTTGCTCACCTCAACTGGTAGCTAGCTATGTGTGTGTAGCATGAAGGGGCTACAGATTAATTTTCGTTTTGTAACCCTCTCGTGTAAAATGATAGATAGATTAGCTAAACCCAAACTTAGCTTTCATCAAAGATTCTTAATGAGAGGTTGAAAACCGTCTCTGCTTTCATGAAAACCCCAGAAACTGGTTGTGACGGCTGCTGTTCTTTACTGAATGGTTAGTATGATCCATAGGCAGTGGCGGCCGGCCCATAGGGGCGCTAGGGGCGCCGCCCCACCTCTTCCCACATA